CCCCTCCCTTAAGCGCCATAAATAGTTATTTCATGATTCATTGAATTTAGATGAATTTTTGAAGAGGTGTTTGAAGCAACCCTTGGTAAAAACGTGGGAAATAACCCATGGACACGAAAATTCATTCAATTGGCTTTTGAAAGAATGCAACTTCTAGAAGATTCATTGAATAGAGACACATTTTGAAGAGACACCAAGACACCCTTTGGATTTTTAATAAAGAAGATTTGGATCATCAAGAGAAGAGAGCCAACAACCATGATCCATCCAAATAACCGCCGCCGCCGACCACTTTTATTTTATTTTAAGTTTTAGTTTGTATTGTGAGTGAAGAAAGAAAATTCAAAGAAACTACAAGACATTTGGTGGAGTGGATTTAAGATAAGTGTTTATCTTTGTGACTACATTTGATTTTAATTTAGATTTCTTGTTTGTGTGCATGTTTGTGTGCATGACTTGTTTGTGTGCATGACTTCTACTTTTAAACTCATGTGCGGTTGTGTTTTCTCCATGAATTCTAAGTAGTTTTCTTTATCTTTTTTCTTAAAATGATAAGTAATTAAGTGTTAAAAGGAAGTTGTGTGAAGTATTAAATTTCAATGTTGGAAGAAGTTGTATTGATTTGAAACATTGTACATTTACTTTTTAATATAGCCAATTAAGATGTTAATACATGTTGTGAGAACATGTAAGATTCGAGATAATATTGTCTCAGTCTATAAATGGTAATAATCCCATATTGATTTCATGGATGAGAATGTAGGTCATGGGGTTGAGTGCAAATAAATAGGGAAATAAACTTTCATGGGTGTAGAATTAGAGGACATTTGAGTGACAGACTAAAGCACCCAATTTGATTTATAATTTTAGGTTTTGATACGAGATGTTAGCTCCCAGGTGGATGGAGAAAAGGGAACTCTAAAGTGAGAGCTAGTAACTTTCCTGCCTAGTCAGTCTTCAAGATTATTCAAACTATAGTTTAGCCAATGTTCTTTATAACATCTCTGGTAAGGGTAAAGAATATTATTGTTTCTATTTGACACAACACATTTAAAATACTTTCACAACAAAATTTCTATACTTGTTACTGATTCATGATAAAAAATAAATATATTTTGCTTACATTGCCTTCATCTTGCAAATTTTTGATATGCATATTTTTGATAAAGTTAATTAGTTGCTTACTTTATTTTTAAATATCAAAAATAAAAAAAAAATCAAATTTTCATTTTTATTATAGTATCTTAAGTTTAAGTAAGAATATTTTGCTAAATAGGATTTTTGTTATCTAAACTTTATAATTTTTTTTTAAAAAAAAGTGCATTTTGCCAGTTTTTCTCGTGGGTTCGATATTCGGGGTTTAATCAAAAAGTCATATATTACTTGATAATGATACATTTACTTGCATATTATCCCATATTTAAATATTATAAATGTATTTTCTTTGCTTCATAGTGAAAAATTTGCCTAACTTTTGCTTTGGATTAAGTTTTTAACTTCGTTGAAAAATAAGAATAATTATTAAAGAAATTAAACATATAATCACATACATCACAATAAACATCTATATAGAAAGTCATGATCATCAAACATACTTATAAGTGATACGTTTATCTTTCGAGATAATATATCACTTATGATATTGTGCTCAATTATCTGAACTATTAGACAATGAGTTTTGTTCGGTCTCAACATTCAAAATTAAAAAAATTATTTTTAAAGCAACCGACAAAATTTCAATTTGGCGGTCGACACCTACTGATTCAAATCAAATCAAAAGATATGAATAAAAAATGAGTTTTATTTTAGATAAGTTAATATAATGATTTTTTAATTTAATTTATACAATAGTTTACTATATTAATAAAGATAAGAAAATTAGATAGGTATGTTTATATATAAGAATTTTGTGATGCCTATTTAAATCCCATTCATTTTTTTAAAAACTTTTGTATAATTATAATGATTTAAGAGAGATTTCATATATGTACATGTGATAACATGCATGAAATTTAGACTAATAGGTCAAGTGGGAGAATATTATAAATTTTTTAAATATAATAATATTATTTAGTATTTAATGTAATTATTTTTTTATTTAAGACTTAAGTGGCTCATTAAGGCTCTGTTTGACACAGCTGCAGCTTCACAGCTTTTCAGTTGCCGCTGACATGCATGAAATTTAGGCTCTGTTTGGCACAGCTGCAGCTGCGCTGCCTCAGGAAACTGCTGCTGCGAAACAACTGAGGTGAAGCTGGCTGTCTGTTTGGTGCAGCTGTGTAAAAACAGCTGCAGAGCAGCTATTTCTGAAAAAATGACCATTTTGCCCTTGTTTGGTAAAACTGTTTAAAGAATGATTGTAACAGTGAAATTTTTTTAATTTCATAAGTAAAATTTTTTATGTAATAGAGTAGTGGAACTTGAATGTGTTAAATAAATAATAAATGTAAATGTTGGGTAATTGTAAAAGTTATGAATATCAAGCTTTGATAATCAAACACATATATTTTAATTTTTCATCTTTTATGAACATCTGAACGTAAACGTTGCTAAAAAACATCTGAACGTAAACGTATTTGGTATTTGCCTTTATAATGTTGAATTTTTTGGCATTGTTAAGCATGACAACTACGGTGGTGATAAAAGAAATTCAGTTCATGGTGAGGAAGAATCAAGTAGTACAAGTTTTTGGTTTTTTTAGGATTTTCTTTGGTTTGTGGTGCTATTTTTCTCATTTTTTGAGCTTTATATAAAATAAAACGTGACAATAAAATTCTCCAAACAAAAGCAAAAAAGTAACAAAAGATCCCCAAAAAAAATTGAGCTGTAAAGATTAGTAAATTTTCTTCAACGAGTAATTTGACTAGCAGTTACAAGGCTTTCACAGATGCCATCCATGAAAAAAACTGCACAAGCCTCTTCCAACGCATAGGAAATAATAAAAAATACATAATTTATTGAAATTAATATTAAAACAAATTATATTATATGATGAAGTTTGAAAAACCAAGTCAATCAATCAAATATAATACAAATTAAATCAATAACTTGTCATAAAAACACAATTAAGTAATCTTAATAAAATACAAGATACTTCTTCAAATGCTATTTCATCACTATGTTAATACGATACTCACAATTGGGTTACTTGAATTGTCACAATGACGATGATTATTGATAATTGGATTACTTGTAAAAAACATTTAACTATTAAATGAAACAACATAAATTTTATTATCATCAAATCACTGATAGGAAGTATGTGGGTCGCCAAGGCTAAGGAAATCAACAACTCTTCCTGTCATACCAAGTCCAAAAATTAACAAATCCCCGATGAGGAACTAACCAAAATCAATCAATCAAAAAGAAAAAAAAACAACAAATTGGCCAAACAAAACTAATGACCAAGGTAGTAATGCAACTCCTAATCATCCCATTATTCATGCCAACAATTTTTCCCCTCAAAATCCCGGTTTTACAGCATTTATTAGACGCACTAACTGACAACCGAAAAATGGCTTTCAATTGCATAAGCAACATGTGATTATGTATATCATTTCATCACAACAAAAGGCTGTAATTTCATCTCATAAAAACAGGTAGCATTCTAGTGGTAAGTTACCATAGTTCGTGAAGGCAAAAGCAAAAAACAAAACACAGCATTATGCACATCTTGCAATTCAAAATCAAAGAAAAAGCATAAGACAAACATTGAAGAAAATAGTTCATTTCATAGTTAAATTTGCAGATGATAACAATATGTTACATCAAATCCAAGGAAACATAAACAGAAAACGATCTCGATAATAACATAGGTAAAGCTATCAATCGTAATCAAACACTCGCGATAACGAAACAATTGATCTCTTAAAAAGAGAATAACATTTCAACAGCCGAAGAAATTGATACCTGCTAGCCTGACTCTCCTCCGCTTCAGTTGTGGTTCTTGAGGTTCTCGCCTGGCTTTCGGCTGAGGAGCGACGGAGGAATGGGCGGAGGAACGACGGCCGGAGGAGCGACGGAGGAAGGGCAAACATGTGAGACAGCGAAGGCACGAGGTTGTCGGCGGGAGAAGAAAGAGCTCGAGGAAGAAGAACTCACGCGGGAAGAAAAAAGAGAAGAAAAAAGGGACGAGGGTTTTTGGCGGGGCTCGGCGGGAAGAAGAAAGGGCTCGAGAAGAAGAACTCACGTGACAAGGATGGAGGAACGAGGGTTTTTAGCGGGGCAAAATGATTCTTTTCGCGAGCTAAAAAGCTAAAAGCTCTGTTTCACTTTGCTGTGTCGCGACACTGCGAGCCAAACGCCTATTTTTCGCGATTCGGGGCCGCGAAGCCGCAAAAAAGCGGCCCCAAACGGACCCTAAATCACGATAATTTCCCCTTTATTTATCAATTAATTTTCCCATACTTAGTAGCTAAAAGATGGACATCCATCAATTTTAACTGTTCCTTAAAACAAAAGTTCATCTTTATTTGTTCCAAAAAATATATGTTTTTTTGATGGAAAAAAAAAATACAGTTAATTCAAAAACTATAAAAAATGAAAATTTTATTTTATGTCTTTTGATCTCAATCATAAGTCTAGTTGATTTCCCTCTTTTTATGTGATATATTATTGATAAATAAGTAAATGAGAAGTTTCCTTAATATTGGCCATTCTACCCTTTTTAAGGGTTCGTTTAGGACAGTTTTTACATTTCAAAATAAACAGTTTATTCAGAAACGTGACCCAAGGGTCGACCGTGGGGTTCGAACAACATCATCTTAGAATAATTAAAAAATACCGCTGCATTTTTAAAAGCTGCCCAAGTGAACCCTAAATTTCAATGGGATAAGTGAGATATTCGGTTATCTAACTTTGAATGAACAAGCAGTTTCATATACAGTCTTCGTGGTTTGCTAATAGAAATTATCTGTTAATAATTTGAGATTTGACATGTGCTGCTGAATCTAAGCCGTCCATTCATCTGCTCGCCTTTTTACCAAAGCAAAACCCAATCACAACGTTCACAAAGCGCCCGAGCAGAGAAACGGCGAGAACGGAAAAGAGCAGAGGGAGCACGCGTCACTGTAGAGAGAGGGAAATAGAGTTAGCCTCATTAATGCGCATCGATAAACTCCCTCTCGCTCCACTCTCGCTATTTGTCTCTCTCCTTTCTCTATACTGGCACTCTCCTCCAGTCGCTCTTGGACCCCATTCCTCCTGGTCTTCATTTCAACTCTCTCGGATCTACTATTGTGCAGTGCACCACAGCCAGGGAAGTAGCTTTTCTCTCCCAGTGGTTCTTGAGATCTCTTCTTGTAGGTTGGGGAGGAGTCAGGCGGTGTGAATGCCGGCATCCTGGTCGACCATGGATGCTGGAAGTCGCCTTTACGGCCCGTGATCCCTACCTTGATGGTGCCCGTGGGGTGTTTCAGGTGAAAGATGCGCGTTCTTCTGTTGCTCCTATGCCTGCTTCCACTTGGTAATTCGCCCCTCGTTGATAGATAAACCTACATTTTTCTTTTGATTTACTTGCCTGCTCTCCCGACTGAAGATTGGGTTTTGATGTATATCGTGCACTGAATTTTAGTTTTGTTCTGCTTGCGGTTGAGGTTAATTAGTTTGTCGTGCTTGTGGTCCTTTTAAAGATTTTGCTGCATTGCTTAAGAGATGATATGCTTGAGTGCCTTGCAGCTGGATTTTGTTAAATTCGTCAAAGATTCCATTGCTTGGATAAAAGTACATATGTTCATTTTATCTAGAAGAATTGGCATTCAATGCTGACGATACCTAATGAGTTCTCTTGGTTGTTAGCAGGATTTGTAAATGACATTCTAGTAAATCTTGTGAATCCAGATTTAATAAATTGTTTGTGGTGTTAAAGTTCAATGGACTTTGAATGTGCAAATTCTGAAGAAGGGCGAGCCTTTCATAAGTTTTGAATGCATGTTTGTCGGTTTGGATCTGAAGGGAACTAATTGATTAGTTTTAAGTGTCCAAGATATAGATTATATGATTTGAAGTTTTTAAGTGTCTGATGATGTCAGTTAAGAATTTCTTAATCGCTGTGCTTAGTACATTGGTAAGCAGCGAGTTATGTCTATAGGAAGGGTTGATGGATTTCACATGATCTAAGACAGATAACTTGTTCTGATTGGTATGTACAAGATAATAGATTATTGATGCCACATGAAAATGTTTTGCTTGAAGAAAAATACGCAGCCCCATTCGATTTTTCTGGTCAATTTAATGCAAAAAATCATAGAAAATAGAAGCAAATTTGAGAAGGTCGAACTTACTGAATGTGAGAGATCACAAGAAAGTGGAATGAATCTAGGGGAAGCTAATTGAAGGAGCATTAGTAGTGAAGAAGAAGAGGGAATGTGAGCTTGCTCGGCTGTAAATTCTATAAATCTCATCAGACTGGGATTTACTTTGTTCTGCTTTATGCGTTGCATTTAGTAAACCCAACTAAATCCATCTTGTAAGATTTATGATTGCTTTTTCCCTTTGAAAACTTGTTGGTTTTAATGCAACAAATTCTCCTTTGAATTGGGCTACTAAACAGCTACTTCATTTTTTATTTTAATTTATTTTTTCATAGAAAAGCCATGATATGGTTTCCTGATCCTCATTAAAGGAAAATAGCAGCTAGACATGCATTTATATTTAGGTTATATATTATGGACGTGGTTTGCCTAATTGTGCGCAAGTCATTTTTAGAAGTTTAAACCCTCCATTTGTTCGCAAAAAAATGCAGCTACAACAAGCAACCTTTTGCTGCCATGGAAAAGAGGAATTGCTATAGTTCTGTTTGTGATTGATACTAGGCACAAAATTTAGTTTTTTTTAGTTTTTGTTACGTGTAGTCATCGAACATATTTCACATTTTCCATAATCTATACTGTAACGTCTAGGTCAGTTGCCTTGGGGAGGGGAAACTAAGAATCAAAGAAGATGAGGCTAGGAGTCGGGCAACCGAGCAGAGGGGAGAGGAAGCGAGGGGGTTGAAAGTCAAGGAGATGAGTTCATCTTATAAAATACTGTATGGGGAAGGAAGGAACATACCAGAAGAGTTGATCGGTAAGTGCGAGAAATGAGTGCAAGCTAGGGGTTTCCTCTTAACCGAAGACAAACAACAGTGTAGCCTGAAGTAGTATCATCAACAACAATGCCAACACCGCTGAGGAGGAAGGAGGCATCGACATCGATTGTTCGTGTGGGAGCGATCCAAAGTTGAGCCAATGACATCGTGCTCGCGAGCAGAGAGGAGGAGACAACGTCAGAGACGACGAAGACATCGATGTCAAAGTGGTGATCCTCGCGCGTGTTGCTGCCTTGCGAAGTAAGAGACGGAGTCGCGTGTGCTGCTGCCGTGCGAAAGAGACAAGGTTGCATGGTTTAGGGTGATTGAGGTAAGCTGTAAAAGGTTTATTAAATTTATTTAGTAGTAAAAATTAATAATAATAATATGATATTTATGTATTTATTGAATAGAAATTAAGTCGATTTACATAAAGTAAAATATATAAATTTTTTACATAATAATGTAAGGTTAATATCTAATTAAAATAATAATTTATTTAAATTTTTGTAATATAAATACTATGTTTATATTAGGTTTTCAATTAGAAGAACCGATGTCAAGGTAAAATAAAATAATCGGCATCGAGGTGAGTCTCGTACGTTTAATCTATGATAATATCTTAGTTTTTCTCTGTAATTTTGCATTGGTAGATATTTGTATAAGCTCTATGTTAATTTCTATGTTCTTTTTTTATTGGTGACATTGCTATGAATATATGCAATTATTTACTATCATGCATTCATGTATGCTATATATAATATATTGAATTGAACAAAATATGAGTGATATGATTATATTGAATGCTTGTATGTGCATGATTAATTATAATAGAACCATCTCTTTATGGTTTTTTGTGGGGGAACGTTAATGTATCTGTGCACATAAATGCAAAAAATATTTATATTAAAATATCTTAAGTGGTACAATTTTTAGATGTGCCTGTGACTGTTATATAGATATAAAATAATATTGGCACGCTATTGATATAACTATATTCATTTAATAACATCTTAAATATTTATATTAATTTAATAAAAACTTAATTAACATGCATATTGCTTTCTTTTTCTTTGTGTTATTGCAGTTTATGAATATGAGTATTCATTGACTTTGGTTAGCTCATCATTGTTTTAAAATAATTTTTCAAGCATAATTAAGTGATTAAAAACATGAGCAAAATAATAAAAAATATTTATAGAAGACGCGGACCAGTAGTGAGGTAAATTTAAATATATTGTTCTGATTTAATCTAATTAATGACTCTTTTATATGTTGATGGTTATAAAAATTAATTATAAAAAAATAATTCTTATCATGCGACCATCTGTTCCCGTCTTGGTTAATTCCAAACCTTGGGTCGGGTTGTGGCAAAGTGGCATCACAACTAAAGTTTAGGATTAATAAATGAAATCTTGATGAAAGAGCTAATTAAATAATTATAAGAAAATTTTAATAATAATAAAAAAATTAAGGATTTATGTTAACTCTAATTAATAATTATATTCATTCAGACATAGTGATGCACCCAAAATTATAGAAGAGAATTTGATAGAAAATAAAGAAGTGCAACCTACTATAAATGTGAACGGAATGCCCTAACCCCGATGATGGTGACGATGACAACCAATTTAGGAGTCTAGATTCGATCACAACCTATCGTAAGTATATAGTTACTATGGATAAGTATCTGAAGCTATTTCAAGATCCGCATCCACCTTTATTAATGTGAACTAAAGACCCGATTGAAGCGCAGACCCGACTAAATGAAAATAGAGAAGATATTAGATGACATGACATGTCGGGATGAAAGAAGAGTGTCATTATCTACGTTTGTGCTCAATGAAGAAGCCGAAAGGTGGTGGCATGGGTAGCGTCAGGACAAGCTAGATGACATACCTAATATAATGGTTAGCAGGGAGGAATTCGTGGAGTTATTCAACAAGTGGTTCGTACCTCTATCCACTCGAAGATAGATGCAGGACATGTTCATCTAGTTGAGGCAAGAAGAGAAGATAATTATGCGGTACGAATCAGAATTCACCGTACTGTTGAGGTATGTGCCATAGCTGATCGTTACCACAGAAGAAAAGTTCCATAGATTTCTTTCCAGATTGAAGGATTTGATCAGATAGCTATTGGTACTTTTAGGGATCGATGAATATTTAGTATTAGTGGAACGATCTCGAAGAATGGAGATTGACTATCAGCTTACTCGAAAGCGTAATGAGATGCACAAGAGGAAGAATAATGATGAAGGTGAGCATATAGATCACCTAGAAGGATTTAATGGGAAGAAGTTCAAGAACAATTCTGGTGGAGTTAGCCCTTGTACGACTCAGGGTACTGCAACATATGTGCCAAATAACAAAGACAACATAAAAGTAAATGTTTGATGGGTTCTTACACTTGTTATTGGTGCCATCAACCTGGTCATATAACAATATATTGTCTACTTAGAAAAGTGCTGAAGATTAAAAATCAGGTGGAGCTCCTTCACGGAAGATTACTGGTGGATAAAAAAAGATTGTCTATAGCTTCAGCTCCGGGGTCAACCAAGGCAATCTGTTCAACCTCGAGTATATTCCCTTACTCATACGGAGCCTGAAGAACTTACTACTACTGATGGTAATGAGGTCTGATATGCTTGGCATTTTCTTATATGTAAGGACGTTTTCCTATCATATTTTTCTTTCTTTAGTAACCGTGTTATTATCTAAAGTATAGTTTAGCTGCTTTGTATCGAATCTTTACCTTTATAGTGATTATTTTTCATCTTAATGAATGACTCATACTTTTCATCATGAAATTTTGGACAGCTAGTGTTGACCTACTTAATGAGAAATGACATGAGGTCTATTTGTAAATTTTGAGGACAATTTTTATAAAAGGGGAAGATTATAACATCCGGTTTCAGTTATCCGGGGGAGGGGAAATGAAGAATCGAAGAAGATGAGGTGAGGAGTCGGTTAGCTGAACAGAGGTGAAAGGAAGTGAGGGGGTCAAAAGTCAAGGAGGTGAGTTCACCATATAAAATGTCGTATGGGGGTGGAACATACTAGGAGAGTTGATCGACAAGTGCGAGAGACGAGTGCAAGCTAGGGTTTCTCTCATAGTCGAAGATAGATGAACGTGTAGCCTATAGTGGTATCGACAGGGCAACATCACTAAGGAGGAAGGAAGCGTCAATGTCGAGCATTCATGCGGAAGGGTGCTTATGACGAGCCAACAATGTCCTGCTTGTGAGCAAAGAGGAGATGGTGGCGGCGACATCGATTTCAAGTGGTGACCTCGCGTGCATTGTTGCCGTGCGATTGAGGAAAAGAGTCGCGTGCGCTGCTGCTATGCGAAGGAGAGAACAAGGTCGCATGGTTTAGGGCGACCAAGGCAAGTCTTAA